CTATAACATCCCACGCGCTACCTATGTCGCGTGTACATCACGTCCTTAATAATTCGTGTAAAAATGTTGAGAGAATTTCAAAACATAACGTTGGAACAATTCAGAAAAAAAGAATCTAAATCAATTTACTAGTATTTGTAAGAATCTAGATTACACTAAAATAATATCATCAACAACAATATATTGGACATAAAACCATTATAAAAAATGTAAAAAGGATATTTTATGTAAATTTGATTTAAATTGTAGATATATGTATATTTTTTTTTTTTGGTCACGATTTATAGATATATGTATATCTATTTGTTTATTATAACAATCTGGCGAGGGAATTAGAGATTAATTAGTGATATCACTTTGGTAAGAAAAACAGCTAAGAGCAGGATCCCATCGACTGAGAACCGACCAAAGCAACGAAAGGCCATGTTTGACCAATAACAAGTTTCTGAGGTAATCATGCATGCATGTATATTAAAAAAAACTTCTATTACTATTATAAAAAAAGCGTACTTTTATTATAATTTTGAAATACTTGATCATGAGTTTATATGAGCTCGACACATTTTATATATAAAAAAATCTGATTCAAAATATGGCCCCACGTGTGTGTCCATATCCATGTGCAAAAGCTCTTCCATTGCATGTGTCCTCCTTTCATTTTCCTAGACTCGATTTGAGCTGACATTATTTATCACCTTCTCGATATATATATGATTCATTCAGATTCTAATTATTTAAGTATACATAGTTTTTGTAAACTAATTTAATAAATTTCACAATTATAAACAATTTGTTAAACCCCCGAGTTTATAATTATTAATTTCCAGACACATGATTATAGACGTGTGTGTTTTTCTGTCCACTTCAACATAATGACGTTTCTGACAAAATGTAAGTACCAATTTATATAATAATCTGTTGTATATTTTTATATAAACCATCCACCACCAATGACGTCAAAAAACAGAAAATCATTCAACCATAGTACTAGTAGATATTATTATTGTCCATCCATCAATAATTGTTTTCTGAACAAATTTAATCATTATAAAATAATTATTATATTTTCACGTACCACATGATTGTATCGACGTATCTAACAATTTTACTCGAAATCGTAATCATTACACGTGTCCACGTGGGAACCCCGTCACTTATTTTGGTTTGTTCCAAGATTTGATTGATTCTTATTGATTTATTTATTTGTAATCCGTGCAATTTGTATTAATAGATTTAATTAAGCGAAAATTCAAGGAGAATTTTGGAATACATATGCTAAGCTACGGTTTGAAGGATATGGAGAGATGACGAGAGATGATGCACAACAGCAGGATATGGAGGCATATTATCGACGTGTTAGGCATGTAAAAGCACCAGAGCGAGTAAGGTTATTCCTTTGGGTGCTAACAC